TCCAGAGAATTAAAAAAGCCACAAAGCACTTAATTTCTAATGTTAAAAACCTACTCTAATGCAATTGATTTCAAAAGCATTTGCTGAGAGTAAACATATTTCTCTATCCGCCACACTAATCAAATACTAATCAAATACTAATACAGTAGGAACCAATTTTCTTTAAAAAATCAAATATGAATTTTGCATGTATGTTTTTGCCATTTTTGTCAGCACAGAAATGGTAAGTTCTTTTTTTGTTTCTTCGTGTTTTTAGTACTGTAAAATACATATTTCTTCTCAGTATTTCTTGAATTCAGAAAACAAGCACCGAGAAGTACAAGCCTGAAGTTGACACTGTAAGTCTAAATCTAATACAGAGATAAATTAGATTTCATCTTTTTTTGTTTGCTTTTTGCTTGCACCATAGACTGCAAGAGTGTCTAAGTGATGAATTCTAACATCTTAATTAATCTATTTCTGTGGAAAAAAAATCATTTCTAGCTTTGGGACAACGTAGTTCTGTTTTGTAGCTAATTTTACTAATTTCTATTTCATGGAACACATGCAAAAAGCAATGTACATCATTGCATTGTCATTACCACCACTGTAGTGACAACAAATGACAAAACTTCTTTGACACCAAACATATTTTGAACGCCATTACAACTCTTTGTCATATGTGCTATGCCTAAGTGCCAAACAGGAGCGCTGCCAACAGTTTGCTATCACGGAGGCCATATGACGGGAGGGCACCAGACAATGGTCATGCCTGAAGCTGCAGCAGGAGTCTGCTAGCTGGCATGGGAAGATTAGCTATTCTAAAGGACCAGAACTTGTAAAAATATATAAAAACAAGAAAAGCCATGAAATATAGGAGACATTCTGAGCCATGTGCAACATGTTTTCTGAATGTTCCCACAGCACCTCGATCATCACCTGCAGCTGAATCCTCCACGGAGGATACCTTGAAGAGAGAAAAAAGTGAAATAACTACCAAGCTTGCTGTCAAAAGAAATGGAAAGTGCTCTTCTAGGGGTACAAATGTTCACGCTAGAAGAAAGCAAACACTGCTTAAACAATCCTGAACATTTGGGCAACTCCAGGCCATGGAGTTTTATGCTTCGACCATTAAAATCATGTGCTGAAAATATCTTTCCTTGTGACCATATGAAAAGAATATCAAATCCACCTATTCTGAAGTATCAAATCCATCTATTCTGAAATATCCCAGCTTCTAGGATGTTTGGGCTTTATGCAGTTTATCAATAGTTCACTTAAAAGTACAAGTTTCCTACAGTCTAAAGTTATTAGCCAATTCTATATAATTTACACTATGATACAGACCACTGCTGTCTTGTTGGGTGGAACCAAAATACATTCAATATTTCACACTCAATAATCATGACACCAAGTTAAAAGAAAATGCATCGACATCTATATTTAAAAAAGGAACAAATAAAGCAGGCTTTAGTTTGTTCTCTAGTGCCTCTTGACTTTGTGAATTAATTCAATTTCTTAAGATCCTAAGTCTTACAACCACAAAGGAAAAGAGTACATCGTGCTAAGGCCCCATTTTTTCCCATCAATTTTCCTCCTTCAATTTGGGGAATTTTTTTAATTGCCCTGGTTATGTTAATATCCTTTTAGAAATGCTTATTCAGTTTTTATCAGTAAATGCTCTTAATGCACACCTCTGACTACATATTACTGCAAGTGTCATGAGACAGGAAAGCACCATGTCCAGAAACCAAAAACATACTAGTATGTAACTGGGGGCTTGAACTTGAGCATAACAAATAAAGGAACTACTTCGAGACACTGCATTAACTAAAAATCAAAATATAATCAACAAAAGAACGAGCTGATGATAATAAATCTCCCTCCCAAGACACAAATATTATGAATTAAAAATCCTGAGATTACAAGAGAAAAAAAACAGAGACACTTCCTAGTTTGCCAGCCACCATGACCTGGTTAGCTAGACTTTTGCTCTTCAATAAAAGTTTAACATTATTTTGAATGCTTGACTGTGAGACCAACAGCTATAAGAAGTATCAGAAAAATGTGACATTATAAAGCCAAATAGAGCTCCCCAGTCAGTTTGTCCAACACCCTCTATTCCTCAAGCCATGGAACATTATCTCCTTACTCCTACACCCCAACTACTTTTGTTTGAATACTGCAAACTTTCCTTCAAACGTTCCAAGATTCACAATAAAACTATGGAAGTTGGCACAACAGCTCACAAATGCATGCAAGTCAAGGAATGCAGGTTTGGACTGAGATGTGTATGTGAGATGTAGCCTGTTTCTCACTTTCATTTGATACAAACCAGTTGGTCAATGAGGTCCTGCTTTCCTACTTAACCCGCTCCTCAGTGCTCTGCAAACATTAGGCCATATATATTACACGAACAGATGCAGAAACTGGTAATGCCCTCTGTTAATGATTAATGGTTATGACCTAGCTATTTTTTAATATAAATGAAAAGATAATTACATTTTCATAATCATACCGACCTTGAACATAAAACTCATTTAACAGCACAGATTATTAGCACAGCCCAAGAATATTCTTCTTTTCTTGATCCTCACATAAGAAAATGGAGAGCTTCAACTCTGGCAAATGGTGTAAGAGATACAATTAATTGAGAATTGTATTCAGATGCCATCTTTTCTAAAAGCAGACATCTCAAGAAAAATGCAACACTTCAAAATCATCCTGTGATGTTGCAGTAGGGAAAAAAAATAAAAATAAAAGCAGGTGAGATGTAGTCTCTTTTCTTCAACTGGAAACAGTCCAATAATAACCAGTTACTGGAAACAAAACCACTTGCTCATTGTAAAAAGAGGACAGGATAATTTGCTTAAGAAACAAAGGATACTAAAGAGGACTTTTTTCTAAAATGAAGAAAAAGAGTGCTGGAAATATATACATATCCACACACATATACGTAAGAAGTATGACACAGTGAACCAAATCCAAGAAAGAAGAGTAATTGAAGAATTTGTTTTTTAAAAAACACCAGCTTATGATTCAGGGTGAAATGCTCTTTTATCTCCCTTAACTTGCCTGCCAATAAGTAACAGCATCTTCTTTAAGGCTGCCCAAAGGAACTCCTGCCTCCATGAAACTGGGATTCTAGAATGAAATTTTGCCATAGCAGGAACTGAGTGATCTTAAATCCAGAGAAGTGACAGATAAAATTAGGTTAAAGAGATGGAAGGAGGCTTTTTTATATACTATTAATAATGCATGCACACTGAAGAGTCCTGAAACAGAATTCCACCTCTCTTCACTGCAGCTGCAGAGCCACAGTGTTTCTTTGATATTTCCCTTTAATTTCAAAGTCTCCCCCTTTACATGTAAAACGCCTGTTCAGATCAGTTGTATCAGTACATAACCCTATGGATAGTTTTCCTGTTCACAGGACTCACAAATTTAGTTTTCTGCCACCCATGAAGGCCTTCCATGAAGACTACAGTTGATACTTAGGATACTCCACATCATCAACATGAAATAAAAAAAAAGGCTGATTCCATTAACCAAAATTACTCACTGCTGCCATATAAGAAAATCCATAACCTTCCATAATCCATAACCCTTTGCCTATTCCGAATGATGAGCTGTTTTGCTCTGAGGACACTTACATTGTAAACACAATGTTGCAAAGTAAGCTAGCTGGGCCCTTAGGCAAGAGTTATAAGCATGAAGTTAGAGCTGCACAAATTGCACAAATAATAGAAATACCTGGAGTATACTTTATTCTCTGAATGTATTTCTCCAGGTGGAAGGAGCAGATATTCAGCACTCACTCTCAAGTATTATATTCAAACTTAGCAGACAATAATGGGAGGAGAGCACTGTCTTTAAGAAGCGAATCACTTATATATTATTCCTAGATTGAATAGGTGTACATAAAAACATCTACCACTTTTATTGAACTATTTGTCAGTTTCCTTCTTTTTCTAAATATCAGTCTACATCCCTCTCTCTCTGAAAGAAGTCTGACTTTCGTACCATAATTCATCTAGACAGAGCTCAGACACTATTTTGTTGGCTTGATTGGTGTGCTGTTAAGTTTATGGCCCCATTCCTGCAATGGAAGCTGCAAGCACCTCTTTCATTATTATTTGATCAGTAACTTGAGAGGCACAGATGGATGTCACTATGGAAACATGGGTCATTATTACAGAGACCAATGAAACAAGAATGGATGCCTCCATAAGGCATCAGCTTCCTTCAGTTTCTTTCTTTTTCCCAAAACAGCTTTCAATAATAAGTTCAGCAACACTCCGCTGCTGAAAGCTCAGGTTGGCATTTGAAAGAAACAGCTACTTCTAATGTTACTCTGTTTTGTTTTCCTATTCACCTTACTGGAATAGCAGTGGAGAACCCATGTCAGTTCTGTGCCCCTGCAGGACAAAGAGATTATGTGTCCTCCCAAGACTACCAGGGGACACTCTGGTCTCCAAATGTGAACAGGGAAACTTCTTGGTCTAAGACTGCTTCAGTGTTTTGTAGGGGCCACTTCAACAAACGTGAACCAAGGACACAGTGCTGCCTATGATCACAGAAAATACCTTTTCTGTTGGGATGATTGCCCCTCTCCATGAGACCATTCCCTTCAAGGACCTTGAGTTCACTGCGTGCTAGCACAGTCCAAATAAAGAGAACGATGGAGAGGGAGCATTTTCCCTCCTCTGGTACCAGTCACTCGGAGAGCTCAGTATACAAACAATAACTGGAGCCAGCAGTATTTGGAGGTAATAATGCTAGCGTTGTTTGGCTGATCGCAGCCCAGAGCAGGGCCGCAGCTGTCGTGGTGCAGCAGAGGGACCATGAGGCACGCGTTCCCAAGGTCATCTCGAGCAGGCCCGGTTCTGATAACGGCCAGCGCGGCAGCACGGTTTCACCGTTGCTGCAGCCGCCGCCGCCTCGGCTCCCGCCCACGGCTCCCAGCGGAGCTGCCCTGGGGCAGGGGGCGCCCAGGACCGCGGCTCTGCTAGGGGCGGCCGATGCCACCGCGCCCGCGGATGCGGCGGGAGGCGGCTTCGGCGCTCCTTGGGGATGCGCGCAGAGGGGCGGGATCGCGCCGCTCCCCCCGGAGCTGCGGCCTCAGCCCGGCCCAGCCTCCCGCCTCCCTGCCCGGCCGTCAGAGCAGGGCGCCGATGGCTGCAGGGCCGGCGGGGCAGGTGGCTTATCCCTGCGGTGGCTGCTTTGGGACGGAGGGGACGGGGGGCTGCGCCCCACGCGGTGTCTGTCCTTCAGTCAGTCCGTCCGTCCGTCCGTCCGTCCGTCCGTCCATCCCTGCGTGGGCGGCGGCTCGTGTGTGCGTGTGTGACTGACAGTGCGGAGCGCAAAGCGCGGGAGCAGCCGCCCTCACGCCGCCAGCCGGGGACCGCCCCGTCTGCGGCACCCCCTTCTCTGTCCCCCGGAGCCCTCCCCGGCGGGGGCGACCTCAGCGGCTTCGCTGCTGCTGCTCCTCCTCCTCCTCCTCCCTCCTGGCGGGTAGGTTACGTTACCTGGTCTCTAGCTCGGGCTGGATCTAATCCCGCGGCCGCCGCCGGCTCGTCTCCCTGCCGCGGGGCTGAGTGGGGTAATTAATTTATTTATTTCCCATGAGGTGTCCTCGGCAGCGGAGCAGCGGCGGGACAGCCCGGGCCGGGCGGCAAGGAAGAAGGCCCGGCTGCTGCTGGGGGGCCGACGGGACGCCGCTGTCCCGGGGGTGCTGCTGGGGAGCGGCCGAGGCGCTTCAGCACCGGCGCGGGGGGGCGGGGGCTGCGGAGGAGACGCCTCCCGGGCTGCCCAACCCGGCTCCGCGGGGCCGGCGGGGGCGCGGCGCCCGTCCCGGGGAGATGGAGCCAGAGCGGGAGGTGGGACGGGACGCGCCGGGCTGGGGCGGGAGGACGGGCAGCACTTGGGGTCCTGCGCCCTCCGGTGCGAGGCGTGAGCCCTCCGGGCCGGTGCCCTTCCCTCCTCCTGCCCCGCCCGGGGCTGCCGGGCGAGAAGAACCCTCGCTGGAAGTTGAGGCCGGGGCGGTGGTCGCTGTCCCCGGGAACAGGGGGGCATGGGGAGCCTCGGCGTTCCCCTGTCGCGTTCTTCACCTCGCTGCTGGCGACACAAGACGTATCCGCCCCCGGCCCCACCCTGTTCTCCTCCTCTTCTGGACTGAGGATGCTGAGTATTTCTCACCCTAAGGCTCATGCAGTCGCTGTTCCACTGAAAGATTACGAAAAGGCACTAGTTTGCTGCGTTTAGGAGGAAAAAAAACCCAACAATATTAACAGAGATATTTTTGTGCTAAACGCGGGAGCTTCGTCTTCCGAAGCAGGGACTGAAATTTGGCCAGTCAGCAGTGAGTTGTCAGTTCAAGTCTTGGTCACCTCTTCCTTTGCCACCTTTTTTTCTCCCTAAGAAATAACAAAGTTCCCAGTGTTTTGTACATGAACATATTTATGAAAGTGACCATTAAGTTCTCCAGAAATTCTGTCCTTAAGGCTAAAATCCTGTAGGGAAAGAGAAGATAATCATATAATTGCATAATTAAAGCTTTTACCGTAACGCCTATTCTCATGGGTAAAAGTTGCACGTTATGTACACCTTTAAAAGTAGTGTGAAGAGGCTGGAGTAATTACCTTTGTTTACATTATGTTGCAAAACATGTTCAAAAGTAAACCTGGTTATTTATTTATTTTCTTAACTTTATTGGATGTACTTTGTTTATTAAGAGCTTATGAATAGGATCTTTACAGACATGTTAGGAGCTGAAACTGTGTATGGATAAGAGTAGGGAGAACTTGGGTTATAGTCAAGGATATTCCAGTTTGCTGAGCTGCTAACTGAGGACGGAAGGACTTGCTAGGGTTGTCTCTTTATTTTGTTAATAACAACTGAATCCCTTAGCTAGCATCAGCCACAATGAATTAAAATTTTTGGAAAAATAATCTGAAAAGGAGCCTGCCATCCCTCAAAAAAAGCTGCAGCATGAGTAGCAATACCTATTGCACATCAAAGAATCTATGCACAAAGAATCCGTCCAACTTATGTTACAAGATGGGCTGCCATCTTGTAGCACAAGTTCATAGAAGTCAGGTTTCTGTGGCTTCGTGGCTTATAGATCTGCTGCCTTCTATGTGAGAAGTATTAAGAATTATTTTGTGTTTTGAACTATAATCATTAAAGCAGAAGACACAGACCCAGAAATCTCAGTTATCTAACATTTTATCTTTTTTTTTTTTTTCTTTTAGGATATTAGTGTTCTAATTTTATATCACCTGCTTCTACTGCAAGTTCTTCAGATTCAGGAGAGAATGCTTTGTCACATGTTTGTAAAGCAGCCAGGTCGCTACAGTCTCTGGGCAGATTCTGGCACTGTAGTCATACGGAGTACAAAGTAGTTCACTGGTAGAGACAAGCAAACACTTTTATTCCAGAAACAGACTGAACAGCTTGGAGTTATTTTTGTGCCCTTGCATAAGCTAAGTAATACTTGAGTTATGTACCTATGTCCAGGGACATTTTTAGGAGCAAACAGCCATGGTGATTGTGAGGGCACTTCATGAAAGTCACACTTGTGTTAATTTGGGTAATGGTGTGTCATCTCATGTGCAAGTGTGTGAAAGAAGCCTGTGCCCAGCACCCCCACATAGAGTTAGTGCCAGTCTGCCCTGGCAGCAGGTTGCACTAAGGGTTTTGGAAGACCAGCAAGAACTCAAAGGGCCCACTAAGCCAAGCAAAGTGAAGAGTAAACACTAAGCAGTGACTCCTGGTCATACAAGCAAAGAAGAGTTGGGTACAAATGCTTATGGTCAAACACTCACTTCCAAGCAGACCCACAAATACAGGATTAAAAATATGTAAATTAGCATGAAATCTGATATAAGATTTTCCATAGAGAAGCTGCTAGTGCTTGAATCAAAGTTTTAAACTTGGCATTACGGTGATGTTAAGCTCTCTCCCATATTCAGGCACTTTGTACACCCTGAAGAAAATCATAGGCCATATAGGACCTCAGACATTTCTTGTGACATGAAGAGCATGGCTACATTGTTCTCTACAGTGAAATATTACGATTTACATGCTATTTAAAAGAATGTTAGGAAAGTGATTTTCAAAGGGACCTGAAAAATAAATAGGTTAAGACAAACATAACTTTTTCATTGCATAGTTCTATTTCCTCCACTGATGTGTCTTAATTAGCAAAGATATCTAGTTATATAGATATGTTTTTTTAATTATAACTATATACTATATATTCTAGATAATAAACTTTATGAAGTGATATATGTCATAAGGTATATCCCATACTGCACTACACAGTATCACATTACTGTACTGTATAGAACATCCTGCGCATTGTATATAGCACAGTGCTACATACAGTATAAATGGATGTGTTCTGTGTTTATATATAATAAATTTGTATTTATCTTACTACTGCTTACATTAACATACCTATATAGAAACAGTAGTTTATACCTATGACACAGACATACATTTTCTGTATATATGTTTGTGCCTCATGCAGTTTCTTTCTATACCTCTTTTCAGAACACCATCTCTAGGAAAGGTGTATGCATCTTGACTTAATGTTGCTGTGCACTTCATCACATTTTGCATTTTCTAGTCCAAGGCAGAGACTGAATATAAGCTAGCTGCAGTTATAACAATGTGTGATTCTGCCCTACATTCTGTACAAATTCAGGTACAGCTCCATGTCTGCATCCTGCTCAAAGTCACAGGAATTACCATGAGCCCTCAGACTAACAGGTGATATATGATTGTATTTTTTATACTGACCTCGATTGCAGTGACATCAGGTTTTTAAGTGAATGTGCTCCTCTGTGTGTGCTGCAGAACAAGGGCTCTGATTTGGTTCCTGGTTGCAGATTAAAAACACCCTAAAAAACAACCTGTTGTTGTCATTTTACATCTTTCCAGTCTTAGACCACCTTCAGTGAATTAAGTCAAAATGTTCATAGCTAACCTCCAAGGGTAAGAATTAAAAATGTATTAGTGATAGCAGTTAATAATTTCCTTGTGAATTTCAAGGAGCTAGCAGAGGTTTGGAGCTGTGTGTGCATGTGTGTCTGAGTCTGTATATGGGAGGGTGGCATTCTGCATTTCTCAGTGATCTAACTGTAAAGAAATTAAACAAACATGTCTATCTAGCATGTGTGTGAAAAGAAGTCACACATCGGGTTACTCATTCTGTGTCCTTCTGATAGTGAGATAGACCTCTGGGAGGTTGTGTTATCCACTCTCCTGTTTCCTGTTGATAACAGCTTGAGGTCTTTTTAGTGATAGAAAAAGGTTTTAGGAATTATTTCTTACCAGAAAGGAAAAAAAAAAAAAAAGGAAAAGACAAGAACTGCTGCAAATGTAGAATACCTGGTGGCATTTTCTGTGAGTCTATCCACTAACAGTTTGGGTAAGTTTCCTCCTGGAATAGTCCATTTTCCCCACGTGGCACTTGTCAGGCAGTTTTATTTGAACCCAAAATTTTACAGGTCCTCTTCTAACTTTAAATTCCTCTGCTACATCACAGGTTATGTGTTCTAGTTGCAGAGTCCAGATCTAGGGGGTGCATATTTATGACTCTGTGTTGTTCTGGCCTACATAAAATTACATTCTGATTATGTTGTTTGGGGTTTTTTTCTGGACTGATTTCCATAAATACATAATTCAGACTTTTCTTGTGTTCATATGCAGGCTGGTGTGGTGTGCATTCTCATCTGCAGCTAATATGCAGCATATTATCATTAAAAGTATATTGGTGAATCACTTAGGCCAGCTTCTGTAGCTTTATATCAACAACTAATCATTGTCAGTCCATGTCTCACTCAATCTTCATCATTGTCAGTCCGTGTCTCGCTCAGACTTCATCCACACAGATAGCTCTGTCACAAGCATAAAACTTTAATCCTAGTTCTGTTAGTGAAAGAGATAGTATTCTTGTGATAAATTTTTTTGTGATAAAATTCATGTAAGTACAACTTGACTGTAGAATTTTAATGATAAAATACAGACAAAGCATGTTTTATATTGAGGTCAGTTTTGTCTATAAGCATCAACTATGTCTATTCCAGGCCCAATAACATTCTTTTCTTTTACAGCCCCTGGGGACACAGAGCACAGCACATTGTAACTACAGCAATAGACTCAGGTGTGCAAGAGCTCTGTTAGGCGCCACAGAGAACTTGAGGTAGCTGGCAGTCATCAGCTGAAGCAGGTAGTCAGTAGAAGTGTAGAAGATAAATACATAATAGAAAAGCGATCTGGAAATGTGGGAGAGATAATAAACCTCTCTTCTAGAGGGGAGGTAACAGATAAGTCACTGATGAACTCAACTCCCACATCAGTGTTGTGTCTAATACTGCTGAAAATACCATAGCAGCCCAAGCCTGTCAGCTCTGAACTAATATTCAAGATGCTGTTGGAAATGCAGTTTGACATATACAGTTATAGAAATCGCTATTGCAGTAGAGTTAAGAAAAATCATACTGCTGAAAGACAGGTGACCAAAACTCCAGGAACACCATGACCCTCTATTAGGTTACAGTTGCCAGAATAGAAAACTATTTACAGCCCTTTTCTATCCTGCATGCTACTGTGTCTTTAGTGCCAGCACAATCATTACCTGGTATTCCTGCCATACTGGCCATGGTTGTCTGTGGAGCACCTGATTTCTTTTTTATGTATTTTCTACTTGTCTTAAAATAGCTAAGCCTGTTTTCCCTATCATGAGCACAGAGAGCGAAAGGCTTATGAGTAAAAGAATGTGTCGTTCTTAGTAGATGTATATTAAATCAGTCGTACAATACATCTTTCTCATCAAGTCACTCTTATAATTCCCAAATTCCCATCCAAGGAAATTGTGAAATCTTGTATGAACACACAGGGAAACTGGTACCATTTGATAACTCCTGTTGCTGTGTTCTGAGATCTTGTAAGACTTTATTGGTACTAGGGAAATAGCAGCAGGAGATATTTTAGTGAGAGTGGACACAGGCAAAAAGTCTGTCAGTACCATCTTTTCACCAAAGAATTGCTCAAATTACTCCACTGACATCTGTCTTTAGTTTGTTAAAACACTCAGGTGGACCACAGGAAGGAGCTGATATCAGTGTAATGTGAATTCTTGTACAGTTAACAAAAAAAAAAAAATTCTTGAAAACTTCTCAATTTGCTTTAAAAGATGCTTTAAAAAGATCTGTCTGTACCACAAGAACTATAAATAATCCTAATGCATTTACACTGAAAGAACATAAACCAAGACATGTGCAACAAATATTTTTGGAGTATTAGTTACCACTGTCAAAGTTCTAGCCAGGAAAGCAGCATATTATTTTAGAAAACCCATTAACAAAATTTACATGTGTCTGTGTTGCTGGTTGCGTATTGTGAGTCCTTTGAACAGTCTTTGTAATTCTTAAAAAGTAATTGCTGGTTTTATTTTTTTTTATACATGTTTTTATTTTTTATATGTTGTTTTAATATTTGTTTCACTATGCCACTGGACATGAATTACTTGTGTGCCTCTCTAAATTCTGCCTCAAAGT